AGAGAGAGAGAGAGAGAGAGAGAGAGAGAGAGAGAGAGAGAGAGAGAGAGAGAGATACAAGCGCTGTTGTTTGTAGCACGTTTTTTCTAAAGGGACAGGTGCCTGGTTGCCGTGCTGCGGGAATAATTTAGGCCGCTGCTGTAGCTTTAAATTGCAGGTCGGCGCGTTATGAATTTGCGGTGCGTTGAACTTCTGCACACGGCGACAGCAGCTGTGGCCTTCTGTTCTTTCCAAACGACATATCAAGTTGGAAGCTCTTGCAGTGAACACGGCAGCTGGCTGAAATGGTTCGATTGGAAAGGAGCATCACGATAAGAACTGAGCGGAAGTAATTTTCCACGGTGATCGGAGGCCGATCCTTGGCCATCCAGTCTTTTCCGTAGACCCCGTGTTGGGGGCCCCCGCACATTTTAGATCGTTGTGGCTATACACTGAGACTGAAAATCGTTCAGCCGTTTGGCGCGATCGATGCCGTATGAAAATTCACACAAACCGCTGGTGGGCAAGCCTGTGCTCGTGCGACCAAAAGAGCAACCTCTGTGCGCAATTGTATCTGTACGTGTGTGTCTCCCCGCCACAAACAACATGCGGTGGAAATTTTCGGTGCCTCTTGCTGAAAATTCCTTGTTGCAGCATCGCGACAATCTTCTGTTTTTACGAGAATTTGTGGTTAGCCACCAGTCTGTTGCCACGCGGGTCAACAAGTTGTCGATGAGGACGCCTCTATCCCCCCCCCCCCGATCGGCCATCGGTGATCGGTCCTGTGGGAACAATGCCCCGTCCTCTCGAGGACGCGTGGTCATTGGTCTAACCGCTAAGGTATGCAAAACATAAGAGTACGCCCCCCCCCCCTCTTTCTTTCTCTCCGCCTTTGCTCGGAAACAATGACACCAAAACACGTGGCGAAATTTGGACGAGTAAGGTCACGCGAGGCCCCCGGATGTACTCGTACAACACGCTGACGGAGCCCATTTCGATGGAGGCGGCCCGAAGAGCTCTTGGTGCACTGGAACAGATCGCGCCGGACAAGCACACCACGCTCGTGAGAGGCAGGAGTTGGCTATGGTGTGGTGTGGTGCATTTGCGTCGACGACACTCAGCAGTAGCGTAGAGATGAGTACGATGTGGTAGCAGAGGGACGAACGGAGCACATGGACCCCCACCGCCGCTCTTAGGCCTCTTTTTTTTTACTTTTCCACAGGGAGGCGATTTTGTCCCCCCAGCAACGTTACATGTACGAGAGGGATCTCCAGTACCACCGTCGTGCTTTGCTTATTCTGTTCTCTGGTACTGTTTGTTTTCGGCAGAGCGGGACCTCGGCGCTGATGAAGCTGGTGTGCTGGCACCTTGAGAGCCCCATCGCGCCGGAGGAGGCGTTTTCCCACCAGGCGGATTACGTCGCAGCGCACGCCAGGGGAGCGAGGGTGAGACGGGGGGGGGGGGGGGGGGGGGGGG